AACGTGGTGGTAAGTATACTTACCACGGCCTTCAAAAGGGTTAATAGAAGTTTTGAATTCAGAAGTTGAATCAAAACAAAACAGGGCATAAATAATAATTACGGAAGGAATAACCTGGCTGATGTCAGAGAAGAAATAAAATCCTTCCCTTTAAATATAATAAATATCATAAAAAATAATTTATTTCTATTAAACTCTTTAAAAGTTAAAACTTTTATGAGAGAAACTCATTACCATACAATCATTGATACTTAAGGGGGAAATAAAAGGGTATAATAAACTATGAATATTCATAATTCAACCTGAGCTGCCACTTATCTAGCCAAATGTTTGAATTAAAATAAAGATGGAATTTCAATTTCGACATTTTTTTAGTGATAAGAATTTTGTTTATTCGACTTTTTTTTTTCCTTTGATTGTTTATTTTTAATCTTTTAAAGTTTTTATTTATTACTGTAGTGCAAACCTTATATATGAAAGCATTAAATTAAAATTGTGTCAGGGAAATACTGTTTTGAGCACAGCTCGAAAATTAAATTGCCCGACGTGAGCTTGACATGCATTTTTTACCCTTATATACCCGACCAAGCATGTAAATATTCCGCGATTTCGCAAAGTACCGATTTATTTACCCTCAAATTTTGAAGAAATCCTTGAAAGCTGCGAATTAAAGTCACCGAAGGAAATTAAAAAATTAAATCGATTATGTTTCATCAGACCTAACTATTATTGAATTTAATTATCTAAACAAGAATTTATTAAGCAAATTTAAAATTTTTTGTTTATCCAGTAATACTTATTTTTTTTAAAAAAAAATTATAGTTACATAATTCAAACACTCACATTTAGTGCCTTGTGTTAAAGTATTGACAATTTTTTTGATAATTTGATTCCTATGCGCATAAATATCAGTTGTCATAATTGTCTAAAAATCACAGTAATTAATTGTCTTCTTTTTTAAATTTATTTCTAAATAAATACTTTCTTCGTGATTTAGAATATTTTATATTTGAACTGCATGACTTTATGTCACTTACTTTAATTCATTCACTTCCTAGTGTCTATGAAAATTATATAAAAATTGCTGTCTTCTTTTAAAGTTACGTTTTCTTATATCGTTTGTTATTCTCAAAAAATGACTTTATATTTATTTCTAAACAAATACTTTGGTTTTAAAATGCCTTTCTTCTTGATTTAGAATATTTTATATTTGAATTGCATGACTTAATGTCACTTACTTTAATTCATTCACTTCCTAGTGTCTATGAAAATTATATAAAAATTGCTGTCTTCTTTTAAAGTTACGTTTTCCTATGTCGTTTGTTATCCTCAAAAAATGACTTTATATTTATTTCTAAATAAATACTTAGGTTTTAAAATGCCCTTCTTGATTTAGAATATTTTATATTTGAATTGTATGACTTAATGTCACATACTGCAATTCATTCACTCCCTAGTGTGTAGTAGTGGTGAAAATTATATAAAAATTGCTATCTTCTTTTAAAATTACGTTTTCTTATATCTTTTGTTATCTTCAAAAAATGATAATGTATCAAAATAAAGCTTCCTTCTTTTCGAAACTATAAAAGTTCATAACTTCCATATAATATGAGACAACTGAGTTTTCAAATTTATTGTTCACTTCAATCATGTTTTTGTTAATATTTTATTTCACTTTCTATTTTTAATACAATGAAATATGACATATGAAATCATCTTAAAGAAGGGTTAATTTTATTTTTTCAAAAAATACATTCCTTTCTATTTCAAGGAAACTCAAATGCAGTTATGCTTTTTCGCCAGGATATTAAAAGCTTGCGAAATGCTTGAGGGTTGTAAATTCTTTGTACAATTTAGTAAATTCAATTTTATGCACTTTTGTTTTAGCTGCGTTCACATATTTACTACAGTTTCAGTTGTTACTTTCATTTAAGTTATAAGAAATTTTTAGTAGTTTTTTTCAAACCAACATAGCAGTAAGAAATAGTTTTGTTCTGAAAGTTCAATAAGTATACATTTAGTTAATTAAATGTTCTTCATTTGATTTTGTTAACATGTTTTTTAAATGCTGTCATTTCTCTGCAGTAGATACTATGCATGTATGTTTAACGTTTAATATAAGCGAAATTGGCTTTATAACTACTTTAGAATCTCAAAAGAAATTTCAAATATGAACTGAAATAACTCCCTTTATTTATTTATTTATATAATTTATTCAAACGGTTCGCATTTTTATGTACATAGGAATTTAATGCCTTTTGTTTTCACTATAAATAATTATGTTCACATATTGACAACAGTTTCAGTAGTTACTTTCATTTAAGTTCTAAGACATTTTTAGGAGTTTTTTTTAACCAACATATCAGTAAGAAATAGTTTTGTTCTGAAAGTTCAATAAGTATACATTTAGTTAATTAAATGTTTTTCATTTGATTTTGTTAGCATGTTTTTTAATTGCTGTCATTTCTCTGCAATTGATACTATGCATGTATGTTTAGCGTTTAATATAAGCGAAATTGGCTTTATAATTACTTTAAAATCTCAAAAGAAATTTCAAATATGAACTGAAATAACTCCCTTTATTTATTTCTTTATAAAATTTATTCAAACGTTTCGCATTTTTACGTACATGGGACTTTAATGTCTTTTATTTTCACTATAAATAATTATGTTCACATATTGACAACAGTTTCAGTTGTTACTTTCATTTAAGTTATAAGACATTTTTCGTAGTTTTTTTTAACCAGTATATCAGTAAGAAATAGTTTTGTTCTAAAGATTTAATAAATACGCATTTAAATGTAATGTTTTTCATTTGAAAGTACGTTTTTTAAATGCTGTCATTTCTCTCCAGCAGATATTAAATATTTATGTTTAGCATTTAATATAAGCAAAATCGGCTTAATAATTACTTTAAAATCTCACAATATTTTTCGAATATGAGCTGAAATAACTCCCTTTATTTCTTTTTTTACATACTTTATTCAAAAGGTTCGCAACTGTTATTTAATTTATTACCCCTAGAGCCCCTGAATTAGATAGGCCGACTTATCATTTATTGTTGGAGCAAAGAGCTAACATAAGCACAGCGAATAAATATTTTCAAGTGGTAGTTCATTAATTGTAATTCTTGGTTTAATAAGTTCGATTTAGTAGATTTTAATCAACCACTATTTCTAAGCAATGCGTAGGCTTTTATAATTCACCACTTTAGAGTACTTATTACATGCGTAACATTTTTAAAAGCAAGCAAACATTGTCAACTATTTGCAAAATTTACTTCGTAGGTATTTACCGTTTTTTAAATTATTTTCGCGTGTCCCGAGCGGTTGGCGTTTCTGTACTAACATAACTAATACTAACATAACGTTAACTTGCGAACTTTTTTGCTCCAATATTGCTTGATAGGTCAGCTCTGCTAGTATAGGAGCCTTAATTACCCCTAAAGAGAATCAACCTCGTCAAGATTAAAAGTTGGCAAGTATGCCTGAGGATGATCCGAAGACACATCAGAACTTAAAAATACGACCATTCGTATTTTTAATCTTTTATGGATCTATTTAAGTTATTTATATGTAATGGTGGACAAACTTTTATTAATTCAAAATTATTGAAATATTTTCCCTTTGCACTCGAGAGGTTCACTACTGCTAAGTGTAAATTACCTGACATACTGAATATTAAAATTATTACATCTTAATGTTTATATTTTATGATTTTATAACCGGTGTTGAACAGCTGACTTAATTATGAGCTTTTGACTATCAATTTTCAACTCCGTGGTCTAGTTATTATGAAGCATTTCAATTTTATTAAAAATATTTTTTTTACTTGTTCTAAACTAAGCAAGCAGCATTTTATAACTTAGTTATTTTAGGCTTTAATTTTTACTTCCTGCAATGAAATAGGAAGTTGTAGCTGTTGAGTTGAGTGCCACGCTGTCTGATGTTTCGCTTCAAGATAAGTTTAAAAATATAGCAAACTTAGTGCTGTTCATTATCTAATGGTAAGACATGTCCTACATTATCGGATACTGGATATATATATATATATACTTGCCAACTTTTACGCATTTAGCATAAAATTTTATTTCTATATTTAAAGTGGTAGTAAAATGTATGCTTTCTACATGTTCCTTGCATTTATAAACTTATTTTATAATCTTTTTGACAACCACTACTTTTTTTGAAAAAAAAAGCATATATATTAATGTGCAATACAGATGTGGCATAACCTTTTTCAAAATACTACGTATGTTTCTGCCTAAATTGTAATTTAAATTCCGTTTTACTACCACTGGGGAAAGTCATCCTCGAAAGGATTAAAAGCTTGCAGGTATATATATATATAAATCTACATGGTTTTTACTCACCTCTACTTCTAAATAATTCAAAGCCTTATGCATACCTGCCAACTTTTAATTCCTTCGAGGATTATTTTCCCCAGTGGTAGTAAAATGAAATTTAAATTACAATTTTAGGCAGAAGAGTACGCTGTATTTTGAAAAAGTTTGTGCGGACTAGAACAACAGCATTACATATTGATATATATGCTTAATTTTTTTAAAAATAGTGGTGGTCAAAAAGATTATAAATTAAGTTTATAAATGCAAAAAATATATAGAAAGTATACATTTTACTACCACTTTAAATATAGAAATAAAATTTTTCGCCAAATGCGTAAAAGTTGGCAGGTATGCCTTATGTGATCCGCCACTGTGCTACAGTTAACTTTTTGTTGCTGACTTTTAGATATTATAGCTTTTATGTTAGGTAGTGCACGCCGAGTGGGTTTATGATAGATATATAACTCAGTATAAGAGAGTTCGACTATAACAAGTTCTGAATGACAAAGTCTAATTTTGATACAAAAAATAATAATTTTTGCTAATTTATGTTAAAACCTGGAAAGCGAAACTTCAAAATTTCTGCATATAATTTAGCTTGCAATTAAAATAAATTGCAGTGAATTGTAATTATGCAAAGAAATTTACAAACAAATTGAGACAAAAATTTTATTTTAATCATAAATCAATAGCAATAAGACGCCTTAATAGGCTCAAATTTATAATGCTTAAAAACAACACAAAAAGAAATTGTTACAAATTTTGCCATTACTGTACACAACGTCCATACATCAGTCTATTGCACATCGTTGACATCTTTCTTAAACACTTTAATTTTCTTGTCATTTTAAATTTGGGGTTTTCTCCAACGCTCTTCTGACTAGTCGAACATTGTTGTCATTCATAAACTGGAATGACAAACCCCTTATTGTCCGGTAAAGTTGAATATTTCCGGACATTTTGGACACAGGACGTTGAGAGGCAGTTGATAAGATGGTCGCTGCTACCTCTCGTTATCTTCCAATAAAGTTCGTATTGAGAAATAAGGGAACAAAAAATAACTTCGAGTTGAGAAGTATTTCTGCTGCTGCTTGTATTTCTGGCAAGCGTGACAGAAGTTCTCTCATTCGTCCAGACTGTTGAGGAAATCGATTTTCCACAAATACTCTCAAGGCAGACAAATATCTTTCTTGGATTATTTCAATCTCTCGTTGTCCTTGATAACCAGCTGGAAGAAAAATATAAGAAAGTGGAGAACGACACAAATAAAGTCTAATGATTATTATGATTTGTTAAATGATTAAGAAGAGTCTCCAAATCGCTAACTCATTTACGAATTATGATTTGAAAAAAGATCAGGAAGAGTCTCCAATCGCTAACTCATTGACGAATAATGATTTGTTAAAAGATCAGGAAGAGTCTCCAATCGCTAACTCAAGGACGAAGATTTGAAACTTATGGCTAGTGATTAGAATTAACAGACCTACAAACTTCTAAAAATTTTAACCGGAACTAAGTTTAGCATTCGATTTTCTTCGCGGCAACTTTAAGCCCATTCACAAGGCTGCTTATACCAGGAAAAAAAAGAGAAAAAAAAACAGATTATTAAACCATTCCAGCTTTAGATTTCTTAAAAATAAAAATAAAAGTATTTACTATTTTTAACTATAAATTATCCACCAATATTTGATTTCCTAAAAATAAAAGATAAAGCTTTAACTATTTTCAATTATAAATTATCCAACAATATTTGATTTCTTAAAAATAAAAGTTAAATCTTTATTTTTAATTATAAATTATCCACCAATATTTAATTTTCCCATTTTCTAAGAAATAGTCAACCATACATATTAAAACTGTTAATATCTTTTGATAGTCAAAGGTATTTCACTTTTCCTGCAAACAATGTATATGTGAACTGGTTTTACTACCATTTTTATTTCTGTTCTATGGTTTGCAAGCAGACATGCCATTCGGGAACCCTCAAAATCGGGGCTGACAACTGGCTCCGGCTATATTAGGATTCCTTTAGTAACATTCGACTTGAAATAATTTTGGCCATCATGATTTTCAAAATTCTAATAACTTTTACTATAAAAGTACTAACAAATACGAAGTTTTTTAAGTGGTAGCAAAATTGTTAAGTCATTTGGCTACAAGTTAATAATTTACTACCACTTTAAATGCTGTAAAAATCTTAAAAATTCTGAATTGACCACACTGTAATAATATCAAATAAGGCTTATTTCAGTCCAAGGTGAATCTTAAGAAATCTTAAAAAAATCTGTAAACGAATAAAACGTATTAATACGTATTTAATATACCAATTAAATGGTAATTTCTCAAGATATAAGGGTACACGTTAAATGTTAGAGATACGGGAATGTGGAATTCCTGCTTTTTATTACCTAAAAGTATTTTTTTTGTTTATTTCTTTCCATTCTCACCAAACTGAATACTCAAATTAATAAATGTGTTTTCTCGATCTTTTCTCTTAATTTACAAAAATTTAAAACTTCTATGCTTTAATAATAAACACGTTTTTTTCCAGTAATTTCTCTCGATTTGTATTAACTTGAACTTTAATGCTTAAAGTAACGAACAAATATCTTTTTTATGAATTACTGTCAGTTCACACTATTTTAAATTTCCCTGCTTGGAAATAGAGCGAGATTTTTCAAGAATTACAGGTACAGAAAAAAATTACGTTTACCTTGATTAAGCATGGCCACAACTTTCAAGCAGACATATTCCTCCACACACAGATGTAATTTTCGAAAAGTGATAGTCAACTGAGATAATTGCTCTACAAGTGAACCAGCTTCCATTTGGATGTTTTCAAGAACTATTTCCTCTCCGACTATCTTTCCCAAAGCACCTTGTAGAGCACATAGACTTATGTTGACTTCATGGTCAAGTTCCTCTTTCGATGGTTTAGGAGATCCATTTTGTGGTAGTGCATATCCATTGGCGTTTCCCATATTGGTGTTGTTGTTGTTAGCTCTTATAGCCCAATAAGCTGTTGTTGTCAGAACTAGCAATTCATGCCACTTGTGCGATAGTAACTATAAGAAAGAAAATTTAAACGAACAAAAAGTATGCATAGAATTTAGATACTAAATCTTGAATTACTACATTTACTGTATATTAACTACAAACAGATTATTTATTTGGATTCGGAATGTGAAAATTTAAAAAAAAAATTAATTTTTATCTCAACTTTCTCTCTCTGGCTTACTGCATGCATACCTGCCAACNACTTATGCAAGTTGGAGCAAATTTGTTTCAGATTTTAGGTCAACGTTTTTCGAGAGTGTCTGATAAAAATATACCATCTTTGGAAATTATACAAATGACTAGAAACTTGTGGATTTGAAATTAATGATTTGATAACCTGTTTTGTCCAATCTCTTTTTCACATCGATAAATGAATTTTGAGTTAAATATATATATATATATATATATATATATATACATTTGCAATAAAAATTAAAGAATCGTGTATTGAAAATAACTACTGTATTTTGTTATTATATTGATATAAATTACACGAAATCGTAAAAATTGTGAGTTTACTTAAAAAAGCGTTGGAATAGGACCAGATTAATTTCTTGGAATTCAAATGGTATAAAGATTTTGATGTCCTGAAAAAGAGGAAATTTTTAAAGCTTATAACAGAAAAATTCTCGAAAATGCGAACTATTTTGATCAGCAATTTTATAAGATTTAACATATTCTAAAAGCTCAAAAATGTGTTATTTATTATACAATACGAAATACTCCTACCTGTGTATGAACGGTGACGGGTAGTTCTGTATAGAATGGTAAGCATTTCGTCCACTGAACTAATTTGCAAACAATCATATCACCAATTTGAAAGAGTTTGTCGCTCAATTCAGCCTTTACTTGCTTGAATTCATCCAGATTTTTTAAGACAGCTACATCTTCGAAGTTATCGCAGTCTATCAATTGCGTGATATAAATCATCGCTTGCTCTGGTGTCATCTGTCTTGCTCTTGAAGAGGTCATCCAACTGTCCAAGTTACACCGAAATGTCCTGATATCACAAGGACTTGTAAGGGCAGCCTTCAAGATTTGACCACTGGGCCATTCTGGTGGTGAGGCAGGATAACGAATAACAGGACTATTGTTTGGTGGATGAGTATTATTAACCTTTGGGGGATCTATTTGCCTCATTTGATTTTTTTGCCCTTTCTTGTGCTTCTTGTATTTCACCTGTAACATGATGATCATCATAAGTCATTCATTTTGTTCAAATGAAAGTGTTTTAAAACTTATTTTAAACAAAAGATATAGATAGTAAGTTTTCCATTATCCGCAGTGTGATTTGCGCGGTTGAAGGAATTCAACAGCTAATCCCCATAAGAGTTTTTAAAAATAATGTTACAAATATATGTTTCATCGTGTTAAAATGTCTCTTTATGATTGATAAAAATTTGATGAACATTTTGAACATTGTTCAAAATGTTCAATTGAATACTGAATTTTTCAAATGAACATTGTTCATAAATGAATAAATATTTCACTAACACTGAGAGAAATCTTTCGCATAAAGCGTGTAAATGTAATATATATTTGTGGCCAAAACCAAAAGCAACCGAAACCAGTTCTAATACTTAAGGTCCCAATTTGGATCACAGGAAAATTTCAAAGGCCTACGTTAAATAAATGCTCAGAAAATCGTACCCTTGCCAAATTCAAGTATTTTTGAACTACAAATGCTAAATATGAATAGAATGCTTTGTTTAACTTCAATATGAATAATATATTGAGGTGCCAAATCAATTTTGAAAATTTCTGAAGAAATTAAAATAGTCAATTAAATAATGGCTCCGTGTACTTACTAATTACCAGAAATTAGCAAACATGTTCAGTTACTTTCTTATGGGAAAAAGCATACAGTAGATAGTTTTCTAAGACATTTAAATCTTATTTTAATTTCTATAAGTCATTTGAATATGGTTATAAAAAGTTAATTAGTAAAATACTTCAGCAAAATGCTTGAATATTTACTCAAAACTCAATAAATATAAATGCTTTGGTAAAAAAAAAATTATAATTTTTCTTAGAATAGTAATAGTCCATTAAAAATAAATTATGGTTCTCTATTACTGTTAAAAGCAGCTGGTAGAGGAAATTAATTATATTTTCAAAACATATTAACCTCTAATTTCATGTTTAATATCACTTTTTCAGTTAAAGATGGCTTTTCATAAATTGGACATTACTAAATGAGATAAGCTGTAATCTACATCTGTAAAAATTAAATTATATTATTATTATAATTATTTGATTCTATAATTATTTATCGATTGAAACTAAGAATCAAAAATTTTGATTGACAATTAAATTTTACTATCTTCTTAAACAAATTTTCAAGTCAATCTTCCGAGTAAATTTAAACAACAGCAGTAAGTATTTAACTTTGATCTTAACCTAAACATCAAGAAGTGATGACAACAGTAAATAGGAAAAATACTTACCTTGAAATAGTCCAAATATCTAATTTGAGTATTGAGATTAAAATTTTTTACCTTGTACAGGTTGTACACTGCCCCCGAATTTCTACCTCCTGGCATGCGGTCTTCTCGAACAGCTATAAAGAGGAAAACCGCAAACTCTAGTACAATATATTTGTATTTGAAAATAAGGAAAACACCACTGTGAAAGTTTCAACAAAAAAAAAATCTATTTCCTCTTCTTTTTTTTAATTATTTGATAATCTGCATGATCGTGAACCATTTTTTGCTAAGTATAAGTTGAAAACTAGAAAAAATTAGAAAAATACAGTGCATTTTTAAAAATGTCAAAGACATATTATGTTTCTCTTCTTCTTTCCTTTCTTTTTGTTTCCCGTTAATTATTGTTTCCATTCTCAAGAATCCAATAGCTTTCAGGTTTATAGGTTATTTTTCATTTAATAAAATAAAAAACCTGATCTGAAGGCACTTTTCGTTAGATATATTTTTTTTTCAATGTGCGTAAAGTGCTTATTAATCAGAAAGTTTCAATGTGCGTAAAGTGTTTATTAATCAGAAAGTTTCAATGTGCGTAAAGTGCTTATTAATTAGAAAGTTTCAATGTGCGGAAAGTGTTTATTAATCATAAAGTTTCAATGTGCGTAAAGTGTTTATTAATCAGAAAGTTTCAATGTGCGTAAAGTGTTTATTAATCAGAAAGTTTCAATGTGCGTAAATTGTTTATTAATTAGAAAGTTTCAATGTGAGGTTAAGCAATTATTAATTAGAGTAAATCAGAAAAAAAAATTGTATCCACTATTTGCCTTGCAAATGGACCTTAGGTCATCAACATTGTACGCATTTATTTTTACCGAGTGTACTTTATTAACCATTTCAACAAAAGTTTTTAGAGAGCAGTAATTTTAAAAATTGTAATTTAAATAGTTAATTATAATAATAATAATATATATATCAAAATATAACAATCTGTACAATGTTTTAAAAATCGTTTTTCTTTGTTAAAATCACAGTGCTGTTCTCCTTTAAGGAATTTTTAATAATTTAGCTGTACTTTCAAAAAGTATAATTAAGATTAGCAAAATTAGGTTTTTTCAATAATTGCCAAATTCTGTAAAAGAAAAAATCATTTGGTTACAAAAACAACATACAATACGCCTACTGATTTACTGTGTAATTACGCAAAATATAAAATCACTTTGTAATTGGTCGCATTTAAACAAAAAAAAAGAAAATCTCGAGGTAAAAAATTAAGCTATTTAATAATAAAATACTGAGATCAAAAGATTTAAATAAATATTCAAAAAGAAAATAAGAGTTCATATAAGTAAGACTCTGGTTAAAGCATTGAGCTGTCATTGTGAAGAGCCGAAGTTCGATCCCCAATCGCGGCTTGTAGCCCACCCAGATTCAAAAGGATGGGTACCAGCTTTTCTGGGAAGTAAATGTGGCCTATGTCCAGTGCTCATCATCTTGCCACAATCATGTCGTTGGTCACAAAATTATAGTGGGCTAACCTCTATGACCCCCTATCCAAATGCTTTATAAGTATGATAGAATTAATTTAGCAGAGATTACAATGATTTTTTCAATTCACTAAAAGGATGTGCCAATTCTAATTTCTTTTTAAAAAATCAGAGCAGTATAAATAAGAATTTAAATTAAATGTTAATTACTTAACACTCATTTTTATTTAATTTAAACACCTAGCAATTATCGTAAATTTTTAAGAAGGAATTTTAAGAGATTGAAATAAAACAATTGCTTAGTAAAACCATTTATTGCTCATCTCAAACTGTAAACACTCTAATCTTTTATAATCCATCATTATAATTTAAGATGAATAATATCGATTGCTTATGTTTTTTTTTATGAATGCAATTGAGTAAATACCCACAAAATCCAGTTAAACAACTTACTCATAGCAGCGAATGCAGTTGTCAAAGGCATCTAAACCTTGAAATAAAATCTCCCACTGACCACTAACCACAAAATAACTGAGTTTTATACCTTCAACTAAAAAAATAATTTAGATTTCAACCTAAAAATCTAAAAACTTCAATCAGGAAAAAACCTTGACTTAATTACAAATGTTTATCCCATTTGATGTAATTGTAAGCACCAAGGATATAGATACCTATTACAAAATTAGAACTAAGATTGTTGGCGTTAGTATCTTATATATTTGACCAAAGGCGACACGATTTTCTTCCGTCTACCTAAATTTTTAGGTTGAATTTAGGTAAGAGGCCCTGCAGAGGGATCAAACTAAACTATTTTCTAGAGAAAAAAAACAACAACACTATAAACAATGCTACATTTTATGTTCTAGATAAATTACACTATTATCCTTTTGCTATTTCTATCCATTAGAAAGTTTTCCTTGAAATACTGACACACATCTAAAAAATTCGATAGATATTTGGCGTATGTAAGGATTATTGATACCTTTCACGTAGTTATAAGGAAAAAAAATCCAATGTCTAAAATACCAGAGGGCTATTTAATGTATAATGACAATAAAAACCAAAGAAAAGTAGTGCGATAATATTTGCAAAATTTTATAAAATAACAGTTTGATTTTTTTTTAATCGTCCTTTCATGCCCAAACAGTCATCCTTCCATGCAAAAACATTGTTGATCGATAACGAGTTAATTCGGCATTACCGTTGCAATGTCGAGTTCACTAGTCATCGGTCAGCAATGTTTGGTCATGATATCAATATTTATAATTATTTACTTTTACTTTACTTCTTTCCAATTTTTACTTTACAAAATTCAGTATTCAAGCAAAAGATTGATATGACATAGTTTCTGTGTGAAATTGCTCGTCAACAAAGTGCAAAGAATGTTGTTAAGAAGTTCTTAAAAGGTGAGAGTATTACACAGATATGAATTTTAAGCTTTGATAACAATTAAGCTTAAATTGCCTTAAAACTTCTAGAGGAAATTAATAATTCTGACAAGAGACAGGAAAATTAACATAAGTTATTGCGGAAGTTTTCTATAACTACCTTGAAAAATTATGTCTTAACCAAAAATAGCAATTTCAAAAATTCATGGTGCTAACTGAGTGAATGTAACTCCAAAATGTTACTTTTTAAATAATGTCTAGATTAAATAACTAATGCCAAGACTCTGAAGGGGTACCTGATTAAAAACTTGAACAAGAGGGACAAATCAGGGCATCAAGATGAGAAACTATTTCCCTCACCACCTCTCCATAGCTCGTGGAAATGTATTTTGCCCTGATTTGCCCTTCTTGGCCACTGTGGTTTTTCTTGTTCTGTTTCTCACTTTTATTTTTCCATTTTTTGTTCGTAAAAGCTTTATATTTCAATTCACTTTTGTTTCTTCTCATCCACGTGCTAAAATGGGAGCCAATTTTTGAACACATTGAAACATGTTGACTATAATTTTCTATTTACACATTTTTGAAGCAAATAAAGTTTTTAATCAGGTAATATAGTGTTTAAATATTTACAAATTAAAATGAGAATCTTAAGTTTAAATTGGGAAATTACTTTATAATATCTTTAAACGGTAAAAAATGATAAGTTATATTTCACTATGTGAAAGATGTTTAGAAAAAGCAATTTACTGTTTTCTATGCATATCCAAAAAAGCAACGTAAAAAACTTTTTGAACGGAAAACAATTTTAAGTACTTTTAACCTATTTATCTATAAAATAATTTCTAAATATATTAGTATTTTTTAATATTTTTATGAAATTTTTTTGCAACAAAATGCCATTTTCTGACACCTGAACTACAAGATTGTCCAGTGTAAAACATAAAAAAGAATTCTTTTAAGAAGTTTAGAATGCACACAATGTAACTTAATCCAATTTCAATGTGAGGGGCAATATATTTTTGCTTTACAAAAAAAGAATTTAAAAATCTAGTGACTTTTGGGAATCAAATTATTTGACGAACGCGGTTCTTCTTTCGGATAATTGTTACTTTATGAGGTTAAATTAGAATTTAGTTATGCATTGTTTTTGTTATGAATTGTTTACTAATCTGAAATTAGTCAGCCCAGTTCTTAACTTACTAAACCATAAGTATTTCCATAGTCAAACTCCATCCATATAGTTTCAAATATTTTAGCCTTACCTTCTTAATGGCAGGATTGTAATGCAACTTAATAATTTTGAGACAGTGACAATATTACCTATAGCAAAAATACAACGTTCATTTAAATTAATTTTATGTCAAAATTCACTTTACAATTCACAACTAATGTTAATAAAAGTCTACATAGTTTTTTCGAAGCATTAAAATATTTTTAAACCAAATATTTTATGCTTAAATTTAAACTTTTATATTAAAAGTTTTTCCTTTTTTAAAATTTCCGTATCAAAATAAGCCGAGAAAAAAAATCAAAAAATTCTGCTGAATAATTTAAAAAATATGGACTAAATAAATAAAATTGTAATTTTTAAATTGATATTACCCAAAACAATGGACAGATGTAATAAAATATTTTAATAAAAAATGCTGACATTATATAAAAAGAATTATATTGAGAAATTTGAATTAAAAACGTTACTAAATTAGTTTTCGATTTTATTTTTTTGATGTATGTGCCAAAAATAATTTAAATATTCATTTCAATGTATATATTTGTCACTGTCTCCAATTTAGATATACAGGAATGGTTTATATAGTTAGGCGATACACTATCCCTTACCTTGTGCTGGCTCCATGATTATTAGACTTTCTGAATTTTAAATAACAGAGCCATGTTTAGTAAGTGAGGTAACTAGGCTAGACTAATTTCAGATTTGTATTTTAGTTTTTATTACTAAGAACAACGATACAATAAACTAAACAAAAAACATTATTACAATCATGGCTCTTATATCAACGCTAGAGATAATCACACGACAAAAATATATGTTAAACAATAATTTCTATTCCCAGTTCTCCCACTTCTAAAAACGGCTCTGATTTATGCAAAAACACAATATACAGTTCAGAATTTAAATAATACACATATAAACAGATACATAATTTGTTTTGCTTTCGTTGTTATCATAATTTTTAATTATAAATTCCTAAATTCCAATGTATTGAGTTGACAAAGAAACTTTTTTTAACTTATATAAACAGTTTTCAATCAGTTTGATTTTTGAACTTTATGAAATATTTAAATGGCGTAATATTTTTTTGAACATTTTTTACATTAAATATATGTCATACAATTTTAAATTGTGTGGTTTATAAACCAAAATAAATGAAATTAACTCTTAATTTTGCAGTAATAGTAGCTTAACTACCTACAAATAATATTTTTATAGTTGAACAAATTGGTATGATTTTTTTATGTTTACTTTAATTTTTAACCATACTAAATTAGTTAATTTTTTTCCAAAATAAAATACTTTTCATACATTTCACGAAAAAATTCCACAAATTTTTATTTCTTCAGAACTACTATTTACTAATAATCCAAGTCTATTTTGATGGATATTTCCGTAAAATTACAGTTAAATACTGGTCTACGTAAAATTACTATTAAATTTTTTTATGGATTTCAGGAAAAAAATTGAACAAATTTTTATTTCTTCAGAACTACTATTTACTAATGATCCTGTCTATTCTGATAGATATTTCCGTAAAATTATTATTAAATACAGGTCTGAAACTGCAGAAGAAATTGAAACGCATAGAGAAAATATTAAATCGTCCGAAATAAAATAAAATAAAATATTTATTAATTTCTTTCTACTTTAGTTGAGATAGCATTTAATAACATTTTTTTAAAAAAGTTGACATGATGATAACGATACATTTTGACATTATTTGCAATTGTAAATAAATAAAAGTTCATATTTCTATAGCTAACCTTTAAAATTTTACTGTAAAAATAAGATGTTAACTTACCAGCAAGAACCATCCCCTGCCTTAGACATTTTTGAAATCGGCAATATTGGCATCGGTTTCGTTGTGCTTTTGTAATTTCACAATGACCATCAGCTACGCATGTGTACACCCTCTTATTTTGCACCGTTCTCTTGAAAAAACCTTTGCATCTAAAAAATAAAAGAATATAATGTCACTAAAGATTTTAATCTAGAAAAATTGATTGAGCACTGATTTGTTAAATGTCTCTAATTTATCAGCAAATATTCCAAATGCCTTCATTTATAACATTGATTTCCGAAATGTCTCTATTTTATCAGCAAGTATTCTAAATGCCTTTATTTAAAGCGTTGATTTCCTAAATGTCTCTATTTTATCAGCAAGTATTCTAAATGCCTTTATTTTGAGCATTGATTTCCTAAATGTCTCTAACTTATCAGCAAGTATTCTGGAATTGCCTCTTTTTACTGAATACATTCGCTAAGTATCACTATTTAATACACACACTCTATATACAGCATGTTTTCACTAATACATATGTATATGTACAGCATATAGATTCGAATTGTCACTATTTACAGCAAACAGTCTGTAAAAGTCTCTATTTGGGGCCTACATTTTCTAAATGTCTCACTTTACAGCGCGTATTCTAAATGTCGTTACATAAATCATACATTCTCTGTGTATTTTCGACATGCATTTTCTAAGACATTTTCGACATTAATTTTCGACATGGTAAGACGTTGAGCTCATGTTCGTGAGATTGTAAGTTTGAATACAGCTGGCCGAAAAATCCCTGTGAATGAAATGGTGACTGGTGCACGTTAAAATCTACCGGGGTTCCAAAATCCCACAAGTTCCCATAACAAATCAATACCTTTGAGAGTACTGAATTGGAGACTGACTGTTCTCTAGTTCAGGTCAAAATTACGATCAGAGGATGAATGAATGAGCCCTCCCTATTAAACGGGCTGTGACATATGTGTGTGTGTGTGACTGAAGTCGCTTAGCCATAGTTAGCGCCAGTAATAAAGAAGAAACGCACCCTCTGCCTTAAAATTGATCGTTTCCCATACCAGGCTTGTGGCATTGGCGGGTGGCATTAGTAACAGCAACAAATGTATCTATTTACAGCATACATTTTCTAATTGTCTTCATTTACAACAGATATTTCTAAATCATTCTAAGTTTGTTCTAAGTTGTACAAATACTAAGTATTTAATGTTTTAATGCATATCATTGTTTCCATTAATTTCATCTGAAATTTTTCGAGCAAGTGTGCCAGATGTTAATGATAGCCGAACCACTTAATCATGAATTTATGCAAATTGTAACATTAATAATATTGCAAACGCAATTCATAAGGCATTGGAAAAATTTGACTTAAGGATTTAAATTACTATTTAATTTTTTTATTTTTTATTTTATAACCGTCGTTGAACAGCCGACCCAATTTTGGGTTTACGACTATTAATGTTCAACTCTGTAGCCTTGTAATTTTGAGTCAATTCAGAAGTCAAGGAAACTCCTGGATCAGTACACACTCAGAGATATGACTTGTTATGGGAACATGGAGGAGTTTGCGACTCGACAAATTTAACGTGCATTTAAATTTTAAAATTCATTTTCGATATAGGCAAAAATTTTATTTTGAATAAAAATGGTAATTGTGTTTACCATAAAACAATTTCTTTATTACCATATCAAATAACATCTCAATTTACGTATTTTATAATTGTGGTATCCAACTATAGTGGTAACCAACTATAGAAAATATCAGCTTGACTTAAACACAAGTATCCTTCCAATTTTTGGCATAAATACTACTTTTATGACAATATTTTACCCTCTGGGTTCAACGCATATGGTTAACGCACATGGCTTAAAAGCATTCCATTTGTCAGCTAAAAATAATTCCCTAAAAAAATGTCACAAAATTCTCGAGAATTTCCGAAAAAAGAATTTCCTAGAAGTAGAGAAATTGGAAACTAAAGTGCTTAAGAGAGTTTTATCCCACCTGAATATTATTTTATGAGTTTGATTGATTTTATTGTAGTTGCAATATGTAGAGAGATGCAACGATACCAATACCTCTAATGTAGGAAATTAAAATAAAATTTGCAGAATTTTATTCCATTTTGCAGGCAATATAAGAGACCTAACTAGAAGTTGGAACAAATGCATTATTGGAACTTGTAAAATAATTATAGGTATTGTTAAACAAAATAACTTTAAGTCAAATTTAATAAATCAAGAATCATTTTAAAAAAATGTCTACCCGTAGAAAAAATTTTGCCACTAAGAGAAACAAGTTGGCATCTCTAGTGATACGAGTAAAATTGTTTTATAGCAACTGAAATTAATTAATATCTTCATTTAAGAATAATGTTCGATTTTTTCCTTTCTAGGATCAAATATTAACCATTTGCACTCGATGTCATTTAAAACGTTAAAAAAAAAACGAACGCAACCACTAAAAGCTTACCAGGAGAAATATCATTGTTTACACACTTACTATATAGATACACACGAAATAGTCTTAAGATTTCCCAAGGCTTTTAGGACTGGAAGGAGCCTCTTACCTTTTCATAGTGTTTAATTTGATCATGTCTTATAATCGTCATTAATTGCGTTGAGAAAATTAAAGAAAAATAAAAGAAGGATATTATGATCATGATTTAGAATTGAGTTGCCGCAACCTCACCGCCAAACAATTAGACGAAAGTTGTTATACTCAGTTGAAATCAACTGCAGAGCCAGTCGCTTGCAGCATTATAAATAATAGTACCATCTGTTTTGCCGAAGTATGCTAGGGGTCTAATTTAGTGTCATCTATTAAGATGTGAAAATATTAACATTTAAAGTGGTAGGTAATTTATAAGTTACAATAGTGCCTCAGAGGCACCTATCACATTAAAAGGGTTAAAAATATTTTTTTTTGACAGTAACATTTAAAATAGCAGTGAAATAAAAATTAAGGTAAGAAGAAGTTTGGATGCCAAGCCGGAAATCCTAGCACCCTACACTAGAGGTAAACCCTCCAACAACTATGGAATTTCCGTATTTTTGGAAAATATTTTCCTTTGAGGGTTTAGTAGAAGTAATACATCAAATCATCATAAATATATAAAAGGTTTTATCTACTACTGCTTAAAATGCAAGTAATGTCTGATAGTCCTAAGTTCTGATAGAAACTTTGCAAAAATTCAATTTCAATTAAAAATGTCTGGTTTCATTCACATCCCTGGAAAAAATATTTCGAACAACCCTCAAATTTGGGAGAGTATGTGATAGCAGCGAAAGCAAAATAACAATTATGATTGTTTGATTTGTTTAATATTACCAACATATAAAAATTTTAAAACGGGATTGTCAGTCCAAATATATAAAGACACAAGCGTATATGGCTACGTTTTCTGCGAAAGTTTTAATAAATTGGTTGTGAATTAAAAAGTGAAAGTTGCAGAATAAGTGATAGTTTTGCCAACTCTATTCAGAAATCTCACCAAGAGGTAAAAGCAACGAAGTAGTATTCATTCTATATGAGATTTCGAATTTTTGATACGTAGTGGTGGAAAAATAACTTAAAATCAAATTTAATAAATTAAAAATAACTTTAAATTTGCTACCACTAAATAATATTTTTTAAAGTGAAACAAGGGAACAAGTTGGAATTTCTGAGAAAGTTCTAACTTTTCAAAATATTAAAAACTTTAAGCAAAATTTTAATTAATGTATGCATTTTTTTAAAATTAGTCATTACTAAAATATTACATTCCACAATTATCAGGATTTATTATTTTATTTTAAATTATTAATATATATAGTGACGGTCAAAATCATTATAAAAAAATTTATGACAATAATAATTTCTTACTATAATTAAAATAATTTCTTAATATTCTTAATTATTAACTATGCATGCTTTTTTGTTTCTAGCTCAACAATATCCCCACTTTTTTCGAGTAAAATAATAAAGCGCTTGCTTTTCCAAACAATAGATAACACAATGACATTAATTTTTTTTTATAACCGTTTTTGAACAGCTGACCACTCGTTAAACTGTGCTACCGTAAAGTGCTCGACTTCGCGCGCAGGTCGTCGGGCTACCGAAGCGGGGGTGCCATCCCCTCCGCAGAGGATCAAAATTGTGATGGCATGTCTTCGGATCATCCTGTGGGATGTTTCCCAGACCGTCGCCAATAGCCCATTGTGCAGCTCTAGTGCGACGTAAATTAACAACAACAACAGCTGACCTAATTTTGTGTTTTTTACTACTATTGTTAAACCCCGTATCTTTGTAATTTTGAACCAATCCGAAAGACAAGGAAACTACTGGATCAGTGCCCCCAGAGGTATGATTTGTTATGGGAATATGGAGAACTTAGAGACTCCGACAGATTTAAAGTGCATCAGTCCCAATTTGACCGGCAGGGATCGAACCCACGACCTCTTGAACATGGGCCCAGTGCCCTCCCAACCAGTATTTCCCGGCCCAATGACATTATTTTTTTATAACCGTTTTTGAACAGCTGACCTAATTTTGGTTTTTTTACTACTAATGTTATACCTCGCAGCCTTATAATTTTGAACCAATCTGAAAGACAAGGAAACTCCTGGAACTGTATACCGAGAGGTATGATTTGTTATAGGAACATAACGCGCATCAGTCCCAATTTACTACACGGGGAGTCTTCGGCCGGTGGGGATCGAACCCACGACCTCTTGGACATGGGCCGAGAGCCCTACCAACCAGGATATCCCGACCCAATGACATTAATTTATAATTAATGTATTAATTTATAGTTAATATTGCAGTTTATTACAGTGAGATAAAATTCATTTCTTACCCTTCGCATGTGATGATGCCATAATGCAGACCTGTTGCCCTGTCTTCACAAATCATGCAGACCATTCGCTCATCATCTTCCTCATCACCAACATGGTTTACAGATGATACAACAGATGCAGAAGATACAGCATTTTGAGTAACAGACAATAACAATGCCGATGAAGATCCTGTTGGATGCTGAATCTCATCATCACTTTTAGAAGATCCATTAACAGTTAAATTGAGTGCTTGTGATTCAGTCAGATGTCGAGGTGGAGACAATGTTTTATGATCACCGTTTGACAATCCATTGGTGGGCCAATATCGTGTAAAACCGACAGGACTACTCTCTCGTCCGAAAGTTGCTCGTGCAGGGGTAGTGGCATACCCTAGCATCACATCTTTAGTGTTTGGAGTATAAGTCATAACGGTCCTTAAAATCGAAGGCTTACACTGAGAGTTGCTGTAAATCGGAGTTGGATACACTGGATTTACTGTTACAGGCGCAGAAACAGGAGAAGATAACATAGACATTTGTGGCAAAGGAGATTGAGGAGAGCATGAAGTTGGTGATAATTGCTGTGAGTGCTTCAAGGATTCCAATGCATGTGGTGGTGATGAATTTGTGCTCTCATACATTCGATCGTTATTTGCGGCCCACAGCATTGTCTTACCTGGCCCATTTCCTGGTATATCTCCCATAACTAATGGTGTTTTGTAAATATTGTTGTTACCCATCATTCTTACTACAGACATTGTATGATCTTCCATGCTATTGTCTCGTCTATTGCGCCTAAGATCCAAGCCTTCGCCCAACTCATTGCTCCTATCACCTCCGCCATCAAATACACTATTTCGACGCTCGTGTTGGGGACTTTCAACAATGCCGTTCACAATGTGTTCACTTTCTGGACCTATTTTACACTTGTTGTTTTGTTCAAGTGGTGGACTGTTTTCTCGGTCGTAATGTTTACCGGGCATGTCCGAGCACATGGCCTCTAAGTGGGGTGGAGATCCAGAAGCAGGCGATCCTCCATCCTCAGACAAATATGTCTGAGTGGTTGAACCACTTGATGATGACCCTCCATCGGTATCTCTGGCATTGATTTCTGCACTTACACTTTCGGGAGATGAAGTTATGACATCGTTATTAACTTCGCTGTCACTGTTGGAGAGGTTGTCGGTCACTTTCCTTCGTTTTAACTTGATATCGTGAAATAAACTCATGGTACGTATCCACGCAGTCAGTATCATAATTTCTAAAATAAGAAAAAATAAATATCAGCACCAGATAATGCTAGTAAGTAGTATTCTAAAGAGCATACTATATTTTCATATCAAATGAACGTTAACTGTTTAAAAATAATGTATTATAGTGTTAATTAATTTATCACCAGTACAATTCATCAGGTTCAGCAACCACTTCAATACTATAAGTTTTCGCTCCATGTATACCATAACTCTTTCTGCGTGTTTGAGTTAGTAAGGTGATCAGGAATACGCCATGTTATTAAAAGTTGAAATACATTACCACTATAATATGACACAAGTTACCACTACAATAATTTTTGACACAAGTTAACACTATAATAATTTATGACACAAGTAACCACTATAATAATTTAAACTATTATACTATAATAAATTAACAAGATATATAATAAATTAACAAGCCACTGTAACCACTATAACAAATTAGCAAGGTACCACTATAATAATTTTGAGGGACCTGTGGACGCCCTACAAAATAATGCAAAAAAAGGGAAAAGCAAATTATATTTTAGCGATAAAAAAGAAAAATACTACAGTGAAGATTAAAAAACGGATTTAAATTAAAATATTTTTAATTGCCAAAGATATCAATGAGTAGTCAAACGGTGATTGGTTATTAGAAATTTTTCCAATATTTCATTGATCAATAAAAAAGATTTTGATCTTTTTTACCCCGTTTGTTCCTTGATGATTCATCAGATTTCCTTCTTTCTTAAATATTTACTTGGAACGGCTAATGTGGATACTTTTTTGGTTTTATTTTTTACAAGGATTCTAAAAATATATATTAAGAATGTATATGTTACATAAATGGGATAATATTACATAAATAGGAATATATATGTTACATAAACAGAATGTATACATATTACATAAATGGGAATTGAAAAAATAATAAGTTAATTATTTAAGTTTATAAGTTAATTTCATCTATGGAGAAATTGTTATTTATTCACTAAATTAAAGTGTATCTCTTTATTTTAATAAAAATTTCTATTTATTTTTGTTCGTTAAATAATAAAATAAAAAATTACAGAAAACATTTCATCTAAATATTAACCCTTTGACGCAAAAGGGACATCAGTATTCCTTCTATATTTTTTTTTCTGGACCTCTCTACAAGCAAAAAGATATATTTTAATATTCTATTAATAGTAAAGAACAGGTAAATAGTTGCAAAAAAAAATTCTGTTAGATCATCGGAATTGTATTTGTACTAAAATATGAAATTTAAAATCGAAAAAAAGTTGTTGGAAAGTTTTCCTTTTCATTCATATTCAAAAATTTATTAAAAATTGATTTTGTAAATTTAAAAAATTTCAATGACGTTTTTCTTAGATCTAAACTGAAAATAATAGCACATTTGAAAAATTATCGTTTGGAAGCGAGCCATGTTAAGAAGATCTTGCCTTTAACGCAGAAAAAGACATCGGTCTTTCATTCTGTATTTCATAACGATAAATTGTTGAAATGCTAAACATAATATTTTTACTTATTTTGACCTAAACTAATACAAAATAAAAAGTATGAAAATATATTTAATAAAAATTCTATGTCAGTTGGTTAAACGATGAAAAACATCCATCTTTAAAAAAAGGAACACTTTTTCCTCAAAACGCATTTTCAATAAAACTTTCCCTCAAAGTAAGTTTTCCCGTGATGATTCAGAAAGGGAAAGCCTTTTCTTGCCTGCTAGCGCCTGAAAGAAAGTTTTCCTGCGCTGACTACAGTCGATTAAAAATGAGAGCACTGCGCATGAGCGGAAGTAAGAAAACGATCTCCGTGTTTCGGAAGACCTTTCTCGTAAGCCGCTTGATGATGTTGTGACGTCATACTATAAAGTTCAGTCACCTCAAAAGCTTTCATTTTCTTCCTTTTCGGGATTATCGGGAGCAAAAAAATCATTCTTCCGGTAACAGTTGTTCAAATAAACATAAAATGACACTGAAATTATAACTACGTGATTTCTCTTAAAAATTATGATTCATTTTTTTTTTCTTTCTCTTCGAAATATTTGTTATCAAAAAAAGTGCATGCCTCGATTTCCGCTGACGTTATTTTTTTTTTTTAACTTTTTACCTTTTTAATGGAAAGTATTTTATATTTAAAATAAAAGAATTCAAAAATTGGGAAAATATTTGGAAGCTTTTAATAATAAATATTAGGTTAAGTTGGGGAAAAAAATTTTCAGGATTAAAATGAACTAATTCCTTTAGCTTAATTAAAAATTTGTAATTAATTATAAATGATTAACTTTTAATTAATTTTCATAATTATAATCAACTTTGGAAAGAAAATTTGCAAGGCTTAGAAAGATTTTTTTTTCTAAAAAAAGCCTTTTTGAGAAGGGAATAAAAAAACGTAATCTAAGCACCTTAAATTCCAAGTAAAGTTTTAATTTCAAACTATAATTAACATTTTTTATAATTAACATTTTATTTGAGAAGATAATTAATCTTTCTTTTAAAATTCGCCAACTTGGCGATGTTTTTGCACCTAGATTAAAATCATTGAATAAATACACTGGGGGCATTCTTTTTTTTTTTTTTTTTCCTGTTGCGAGAGATTTTTTTTCTTTCTGTTCAGATCTTAGATACTTTCGTACTGCTGATTTCAAATCAGTAATCGAATGCTCTCCCCAAGATACGGTTTTTTAATGAGATTTTTAATATTTTTTTGTCGAAACACGTTCAAAAACGTTATATATAAAAAGGGGGTGGCATAAATGTTGCAGCAAAATTTTTGGGGAGTTAGGGCGCATCGATTGCTTTCGTATTGCTGATTTCAAATCAGTAATCGGCTGCTCTCTCCAAGATACGGTTTTTTAATGAGATTTTTAATATTTTTTTGTCGAAACACGTTTAAAAACGTTATATATAAAAAAGGGGTGGCAAAAATGTTGCAGCAAAATTTTTGGGGAGTTGGGGCGCATCGATTGGTTTCGAAGAGTACAAGTTACAAAATTAAAATTTCATTTCCTTTTTTTTTTTTTTTTTTTTNTTTTTTTTTTTTTTTTTTTTTTTTTTTTTTTTTTTTTTAAGCCAAGAGGAGATCGGATTTAATTATAATAGCCAATTCCATATTTTATTTGATAATGATTAGCGAGGAAAAAAAAACTTTAGCGCAGTTCGATCACTTTCAAATATATAAACTGAAAAAAAAATATAAAATAATAGATTTATGTGTTAAAATGTATATTTTTAACTGACATTTTAAACAAATAAACTTTCAAAATAAAATTTTGAAAAAAAAAACTTATTTTAATTTTTATTTTATGAATATTAATTTTTTTATTAATAAAGTGATAAAACTAAAACGTTCTTTGTTCTTACAAAACCTGAACGGTGACAGTCAAACTGCCTGTCAAAAACTCTCCGTCAAAACTTACTGTGCGGGAAAGGGTTAACCTTAAAAATAACATGTTTTTGTTAAAAAGATTATTCGTAAAACAAGATTGTCGAACTGTCTTTCGAGCTTTGATTGGCTATAATACTCGTGTAAAAAAAATTTATAAATAAATAAATAAAAAAATTTTACCGATATATGTCTCAGTAGGGCACAAAATATTCAAACTTTCAAATTTGGTATTTGTGGTAAAATTTGGAGATATCATCATGATACCTTAGAGCATGGCATAAAAGGCTTTTATTCGGTAAAATTTACTTTTCAGCTTTGTATTTATACCGAATGTGTGATAATAAGAACTATAATTTTGAAAATCAGAATTTCTACCATGATATTACCATGCGAACGGAAAACTAACCAAATAATTGGTTTAAATCAAAAAAATTTTTTACCTGAATTATGATTTTTTTAACAGAAATGTCATGACTATACAAGTATGGTAATGTTACCGGAGTTTTTCTTTTTTTTTTTTCATTGCGATATTCAGTTTTTCTCTTAACAACAAAAGTAATAACAAAATACGTACAAACTTTTGTACAAAATCATTTTCATTAAAGTCAACAACATTCAAATAACAAGCAAAATTATAGCTCAGAATAACAGTTTTAAATATTTATTTCACTTGTGACCATTCAAAGACAATCGCGTTCAATTAATTACAAAGCATAAAAACTATCTTTATGGAATTAAACACCGAAAAAAATAATTAAATATTTATTTTATTTGTGACCATTCAAAGACAGCCGCGTGCAATTTATAAAGCATTAAAACTATCTTTACGGAATTAAACCGCCAAAAAAACAGTGAAATATATATTTTAGTTTTGACCATTCGAAGTCGGTGGAGTTCAATTAATTGCAAAGCATTAAAATTATCTTTACGGAATTAAACCCCGAACAAAACAGTTAAATATTTATTTTATTTGTGACCATTCAAAGAAAGTTGAATTCAATTAAATGTAAAGCATTTAAGCTACCTTTACGGTCCCGCAGTGGACTGATCGTTAAGACACGGTTCCCAGCAGATCACCGAAGTCAAGCATCACTGACTACGGTCAGTGTGCGGGTGGGTGACCACTTAGATCAGTCTGCGTAGGGACCGAGTGTGTGCGGTATTGGTCCTCGTTAAACTGTGCTACCGTAAAGTGCTCGACTTCGTGCGCAGGTCGTCGGGCTACCGAAGCGGGGGTGTCATCCCCTTCGCAGAGGATCAAAATTGTGATGGCATGTCTTCGGATCATCCTCCGGGATGTTTCCCAGACCGTCGCCAATAGCCCATTGTGCAGCTCTAGTGCGACGACCTGCGCGCGAATTCGAGCACTTTACGGTAGAACAGTTTAACGAGGACCAATACCGCACACCCTCGGTCCCTACGCAGACTGATCCAAGTGGTCACCCACCCGCACACTGACCGTAGCCAGTGATGCTTGACTTCGGTGATCTGCTGGGAAACGTGTCTAAACGATCAGTCCACTGCGGGACGTGACCATTCAAAGACAGTCGCGAACAATTATTGCAAAGCATTTAAACTATCTTAACGGAATTAAACCCCGAAAAAAACAGTTAAATATTTATTTTATTTG